GATGCCACTGCTGGGCATTGGAGAATGGCCTTTGCATTTGCTCAAGATCTTGCATAGATATATTTATGCAAGTTTTTAGTGTTGGAGAGATATGAGTGAGCAGAGACAACGTACGACAACTGCAAGCCAATGGGAGAGTTCTGAGCATTTGGCTTATATGTCGCTGCCTGCTCTGCTAAAACAGACGGCTTTGATGTTCTCAGAGTTTCAGACAGAAAATATCAAATTTTATATTAATATATTTACTTTCACTTCTTTAAAGTATAAATAAACCGAATTTTTAATTGCTTGTGAATTACTCGAGGTGGGTAATAGGGTAAACTTGAGGCCAATATCCCTTGTGTAATGAGTGGCAAGAGTTATGGACTGAAATATGGTTGAACCAATCATATTGGGGAGCTGCGCCATCGTGGCACAGGCAACCAATCACAAGGTCGAGGATTTTAAGGTATCAGAGGCCATAGGAAAGAGTGAAATCTTAGGTTGTGTTTTCATAATAATATATTCATTCAATTTTTTTATTATGATATTGATTTGTGGTTTGCATCACATCCGTCACTTAAGACTGATTGACTAGCTCAGCAGGTCTAACTCAGACAACTGAGTTTTCGTTTTGGTCTCAAGGAAACTGAGATGTTTTATCATGCATTATTTAGGTTCAGTTAACTGAAAGAGTTAGTTTAATTTGACCGTTAGTCTTTGCCTAATTTTGAGGTTAACCATAATCTCAACTTAACTCAGTAGCATTATTATTTGCCCTTAATGTATATCAATAGCATATATGTACCTAGGAAAAAGAATTAAGGGGAGGCAAAAGGCTAGAGCTTGGGAAAAGAAATTCCAATTTATATCACTGCAGGCAGAATCTGAGTCAGAATTTCTGCTGTGGATAATAGACTTCATCCTCCTAGAGAGGATAGTAAGCTGATGAAATTAACAAGCATCATGCTTTCTTCAATTTCAAGCATACCTTTTGTGGAAACAACTTTAATTACCATTTATAAATAGTTCAATGAATATTTCTCTCTCTGTGTCTGTGTCTCTCTCCCTTTTCCCAACACAGGAAATTTGGCTGTGGTTGGAAACCCCCTTTACATGATATGTTTTTCAGTAAACCGACATGCATCTCAGAAGTTTATGTCTAGTCTAATTAAGATACACAAGAAGCTAGTTATGAAGAGAGCTCCACTATTAATTGCCAAGCCTAATAGTATTTGGATCCTGCTTAATTAGTTGATAAGCAATTGACACAATTGTAATATCATGAAATGGGACCATTATAATGCATCTATCCATTACTTTGGATGAGCAAAGCTAGTAAGTTTCTTCTTTATATTTCTAGAAGATGTTATATTGCTATTATTTAAGGGGTATAGCAAATATTTCAAATTTGAAAAAAAAAAATGTAAAATATCCATTACTTCAAGGAAGATTTTTTTTTTTTTTTTTTTTTTATAAAACAAGCGATAGTCTACCTAAAGGGGAGGGGGATTTCTCACACACAGTACATACACAATTAAAATGCCATGGGGATTCGAACCTGAGACCTCTTGTAAGCCAAGGTCTTTTTCCACTAGGCTAGACCCCGTTGACAAGAAGATTACTACTTAAGGCAGAAAATGGTAATATCTTATGGTTTAGAAAAGAACTAGTGGCATCATGATGGTTCATATATTATTCCTTGGTAATTAAAGTCACTAAATAGATAATTAATTCATCACAGCAACCGTAGGCTCCCACACCATGTTCATAAAGTTTTAGTATTTTATGTACCCTAAAAGTTTATTAATATTTTGCTCTTTAATTCCATAGTTTCTCTTTAGAAAGAAAGTAGTCAGGAACTTATTTCAAGAATATTCTTGTTGTTCAAAGTTTGATTAAATAAGCCACAGAAATAGAAACAATCCTTTGCTTGGTAGCTTTTCTCATGGTAAGCCTTTTTTATTAGTTTCAAACTATCATAATGATTCAGAGAAATTACAAGGTCATATTTTAGAAACTTTACACTAAAAAACTTCTTTGTCTATGAAAGTTCATCTTATACACTCAAATTCTCTTTTGAGTTTGAATCATTATCTGAAAACTTTTCAGTTTTTGGAGATTATTTAAATATTTGATATGTTTAAGCAATGCTATAAATGCAGCCCACACTTACAGCATTTGAGGATTTGGTACATATTTAACTTGGTGTTCTTCCTTGAGCACTAGTCTCATGCATATTGGTTGGACTATATGTCTAATATTAGGTGTATATATTCATGTATCAATAGATGACATTCTTTTGTGGTAACTAGAAGTGTTATGTATTATTACTTTCTAGTCTTTTATAGATTCATGTATTAATGCTATGATTGCATACCATGCAGTGTTAAAGAAACAATTGAGAGGTACAAGAAGGCATGCGCAGAGTCTACAAATACCGGATCTGTTTCTGAAGCTAGTACTCAGGTATTATTTACCTTGATGACAGATACTTGACAGAAAAGTTTTTAAGTTTGGAGTATGATTTTAAAAGTGAGATTAGCTCTTTCTGGTCTCTGGATTTCATTATCATATACTTTCTCCTCTAAGGGTGTGAATATTGAACTCAGTTATGTAGATCTTGAACAAAACCAATCCATGACTAAGACAAGTCTTGTTTTTCTTTTATATTTTTGGATCTCTTTAGTCTCATCATAATCATTTCCAATATCAATCCTGGAATTTGGGTGAGCCATATAAATCCAGTTGTTTTGTTCATTCTATTACAACGAAAAATACCGGTAAAGCTTTTAGTTGAATGCCTTGGTAAGAAGTTAATATATTAATTGATGGAATTTCTTTATATATATGAGCCCTAATTTATAATAATTGTATATATTACATATTACACACACACACACATACACTTATGTGGAATATATATATAATTGGTAAAGCACTAAGAATGAATTTTTAATGCATGCATCAAAACTAGTAAAGCAGTGTTTATTGATTTTGATCATATTTTCAATGAGATGTTTTAACCATTGATTTATGGATGTAAATCTCAGTACTACCAACAAGAAGCTGCGAAACTGCGCGCTCAGATAGGGAATTTGCAGAACTCAAGCAGGTAATCTTAAAGGGATCAAGTTCAACCCTAGTTGCCAAAAGCTTTCCCAGATCCTAGATTTTCAAATTGGCAGCCTTTTCTTTGACAGGCATATGATGGGCGAGTCATTGAGTTCTATGAATATGAAAGACCTGAAGAACCTGGAGAGTAAACTAGAGAAAGGAATCAACAGAATCAGATCCAAGAAGGTATCTCTTCTATATTTATGATGGATTTTTGCGATCTGAATTATGTACTTGTATTTTGCTAGCTTTTGCATAGACATTGACAAGTTTTTCCTTTTCTGTTTTCTTATATTTCTTTCTTATAAATCTTTGATCGTCTCTCTCAGAATGAGCTCCTGTTTGCCGAAATTGAGTACATGCAGAAAAGGGTACCACTCTTTGACTCTTCCTCATTTATAAAATTGCATTCTCTTACATGCATTAATATTTCTCATCATATTTGAAAATTTTGTTGAGTATCACTGCTCAATGCATGTTTACCAACTTATCAAGTAAACAATTTACTGCATGTACTGGTATGTTTGATCTATTGTAAATGGGGTTCATGATGATCATATGCATTTGGAGACTGTGGGCCGGCATCAAATTGTCTTTATCAACTGAGTGCATGCATGTTAGAAGCTAGTGTTAAAAGTTATCACTTGTTTGCTGAATGTTTAATTTGGTCAAAAGTTCTCATGAAAACTTGATTGAAGCTTAAAATTTCTGGTTAAGCTTTGTTATATTTTCTTTTGATTTTTAACAAAAACCTCTCTTAACCATTTTGTTGTCATTAGGTAATATTCAATATGGTTCTTTTAGCTTCTATAAGTTGACTAACGGTGAATTCTTTACATGTTATCAAAAATTGGTATTTGAGGTTACCACAAGAAGTCGCACTCACACTGCTCAAAATCATTCATATAAGTTTTGTGCTGTTAATGAAACTAATTTTTCTTGGTTTTCATTAACATTAAAATGTACCTAGCAGGAAATTGACTTGCATAACAACAACCAGCTCCTACGAGCAAAGGTGATCCCTCTCTCTCTCTCTCTCTCTCTCTCTCTCTCTCTCTCTATAGAAAAATATGCATGAGATGTGCGCTCGCATGTGTATCGTATTTGTGTTCGTGTTAGTAGTATGTAGTACTTAATTAGTAGTGATTCATGGGGCTTGTGAATGGGATATATAGATAGCTGAGAATGAGAGGAGCCAGCAAAACATAAATGTGATGGCTGGAGGGGGAAGTTATGAGATCATGCAGTCTCAGCCATATGACTCTCGGAACTATTTTCAAGTGAATGCATTACAACCCAATCATCAGTACAATTCACGCCAAGATCCGATGGCCCTTCAATTAGTGTAAGTACGCATATATCCCAAATTATCAACCTCATAACAAATTACTATTCACATTGTAATTTGACTGCACATATATTATATGCAAGCACCTTTACATACATCCCTTCAAACAGTTTCCTTTTACATTCCTGTGCAGTTAATGTGCTTGGACCGTCGTCTCTGCCGAATTAATTTTCTGTGGTGGGTATGTAAAGACACCAGATGATGATAGCTACAGGCACTTTGTCAAGTAGTAGAAAGCATAAATCATCAACTTGGCTTTGTGAAAGACGTTGGTACCAAGTACATTAGTAGAAGGGGATTTCTTTGTCTGTATTTTAAATATGTGCCTGCAGTAATGTGTACTACTAAAACTCCGTGAGACGTTACACTAACAATTTCCTCCAACTCTCATGTGATTGAATCTTTTATAATGTTGGTTTGAACATCTATTATTATATGTCTCATACATCCAAGCGTGCATATAGTATATTAATTTTCTCTCTCTCTCTCTCTCTCTCTCTCTCTCTACATATATATATATATATGGTTGATGTTTCTGTTTTCATATGAAATTTTTATTTGCCTGGCTTTAGAGTCCAACAATGATCATAGACTAAGCTGAACTAGGTGACTGATATCCATGGGATAAGTGTCCGATGGGTCTTGAGAACTGTATGCTCTTCCTGCACTGGCTATATTGGCGGCCTCAGTCGGATGGAATGAGTCCCATAATGCATAGTCACTTCTATTCTGGCATACAGGTTCGAAAGGATTGCATAGCCCGAGTTCATTTACTGCACAGCAGCTAATGTTCGGAACCTTGAAATCTGAAATCAACAAAACAAATTAATGTCACTTTCAGTACTCTTTCAGAAAATACAGCTAGGAATTTTAGTTTGTGCGACCCTGTCATATATCTCTCTCCTCATATAACAGTGGATCTCACGTACATATTTACGAGAGAAATGTCGCATATGACAGGATCACAGCAGAAAAGAGAGGCACAAAAGTGTAACCAAGTACCAGCAGGACGTGACACTGAAGAAGCGTTAACATAGATGAATTGTGCATCTTCCAGATCCGTGTTGAGCTTGTCCACCAGAGCTCTAAGCTTTTCATTAAAAGGTTCGGTTGCATTGCCTATTGGTGCCACTCCAACCAAGGCCACCTTCCTTGCTCCATAACTATACAAAGTCTTCAATCAAAACCAACATCAAACAAATAAGTACTTTTCGATTAGGTCTCAAAGTCTACGACGCGCGAAGATTAGTAAACTAAACAAGTGCTTGGTGTTATTAATTAATTAATAACTAATAATTACCATAATTTGTTGAGAATATTGTTCAATAAGAACTGAAGCATATTGTTCAAGTGTATATATTCGACTGGTGTTAAAATACTGAGTCTGGAAGTAATTGTTAATGTAATCGTTGTTGCCGATTCCCATAAAATAAAAGCACTTGTTTAAATACTTGAGAGCTAATGCTTTATGTCGCAGAATGGAAGCAATGCGCAAGACTGTAACATGGTGATTTCGTAACTGCT